AGCTCCTGTCTGTGCTCCTGCACACTGAAGATGCCGGTCACAGGAGCTGGCGAAACGCTAGGGAACAAAACTTCCAGAACACGGCCACACAGCCTGGAAGACCCACACCAGTCATCGTATGCCGGCCGTGAAAGCCTTCGACAATACATACCTAAAATTCCTTCCTCTTCCTATTTTCCCCACCACAACCACCGTATGAGGTGAGTTGGGCTGAGAGTGACTGGCCCAAAGTCACCCAGCCGGCTTTCATGCCTAAGGTGGGACTAGAACTCAACCTCCTGCTTTCTAGCCTGGTGCCTTAACCACTAGAACAAACTAGCTCTCTTTTCTTATCGCACTTTCAGCTTTTTCGTTATTTCTTTCTTTTTCGTTTTTTCTGTTCTAATTTAGTTTGTATTAGTTCTTACTGCTTTTAAAACTTTTAATAAAATTACATATTTATAAAAAAGAATTGCATTTAGCACTGACTTGCTTTGTGTGCAATGTTACTAGAGTCTAGAAAATTAATCAAAACTAATTGACCTTACACCAAACAAGCTCCTCAGATTGATTTGTCTGCTTTTAATAGGTAAAGTCCAATTATTTTTCACATTCAAGAAGGTGAAACATCTTGGTTTCCATCTTGCTGGAATAAACAGCCATAACTATTCTTTCCTCTCCTAAATACCTTCATGTATTTTGTGGGGCCCTTTTATAAAGAAAGGGAAGTTAATCAGCACCACAATATGATTCTAGCAATAGATCACAGAATATGGATCTTCTCTGAAAGTAATTTTGAGTTAAGCACATGGGAGTGCAAGCTAATTATTAATTAAGTAATTATGTCATAAGATCATTATCACTTTAACTGGGTCTCGGAATACTAGATTCAAGAAAGCCTAGCAACAGTACACAATAACATTAACTGCGTAACTCTTTCTTTTCTTTTCTTTTTTTTTTTGAAGAACAAACTTAGAGCAACTAGCTAAGACTTAATATTATCCTGCAATTAAAAATAAAATGGATACAGGGAAACGTTGATATCCATCGTTCTAGGACAGGTGATCGCATATATGCAGGCAGAGGATTTTGGATATACTTTAATTTATGTATTTGATTTTTTAACTTTTGCATTTTATTGAACTTTAGTCACCTTGAGTGTTCAAACTGTGCAGAAAGGAAGGATATTTTATATTAAAACAGATAAATGCCATTTAAGATCTAAATTGGTAAAATACCTTTTGTATCAGGCTTAATACAAGATATGAAATACAAAATGTTGTTTAATATCTTTAAAAACTTCCTATCATTTTTGGATACAGGCTACTTGAGCCAATGTCTATTTCTACATGATTCTTTGAGATCATCTGGGAATGTCTGCCTAAGTTGCCATAAACTCATCTTGCAGCAACCTGGGTTTGAGCTTTCGTTGTCGCTAGCTCTGTTTTTTTAAGTGCACTCCCTGTTTTTGTCCTAACCCCATTGGTTAGTTCTAAAAAGACCCTAAAACACATTTTTAAAAAATATGTGTAATTGCTTTTAATAGATTTAATCTAGTTTCAATTTCATGTTGTATTGTAAACTGCCAAGGAACTCTGTTAGTTAGTAGCATACGTGTAATAAACTAAAAATAATAAAACTTTCATTATTTTAACATATTCTGTTTCAAAGCAATTTAGTATATGGAATATTCTATTTAGAACTATGTTAAATAATTCATACTAATTCTACGTGAGAATAATAAAAAATTTAAGTATTTTAAACTTACTTTAAAATGCTTAAAATACCAATTAGGCTATAAATAAATGTATGAATATCCATTATGTTTTTAACATAGATTAATTTTACAGAAATTATAAAATATTCATTTTTTTAAAAAAGGAGCATTAAATATGTTAGAAAGTTCTGTAAAGATGGAACAGTGGGAGAAAAATGTCATTAAACCCTTAAGTTTAATTTTTAAATTTAAATCATTTTTTTTAATTTAGTTTTTAATACACTTCTAACATTGTGTAGAATACAGAATTATGTATTGCGCATACTTCAAAAATGATTTGGAAAATGTGCTTCAAACCTTTGTGTGAGCATTAAACACAGCACCTTTCTCCTATTCACTGAAGCAGCCTGGGTTTTTTTGGCTTCCATGTAAGGAAGCTAGACCTTCTAAGTAGGTCAAGAAACGGAGCAGGAATGCTCTTAATCGTTGGAAGCCTGACAAGAGTCTCTCACATCTAATACCAAACCCAAATCAAGGCAGGGTTATTCTGAGTTCCTTTCTCAGGTGTTCCACTTCCTCAGAACTGAGTAATCTTTTCTCTTCCCATAAGAGTTCATTGCTCCTTTCCCTCTTCTGTACTCTTTCACAAAGCCTGAAAAAAGTTGTGACTGCTTTAAGAGTAGCACTAACTAGAATCAATTAAACTCCTTAAAACATCAAGTATTTTTCAGACTCAAATGGAAGCCTGAAAAGATGTACATGCAGAAGGGATTGTGCTTGGGAGGTCTAGAGCAGTTCTTCTATATAGTTTTCAAAGGGTAAACAGCTCTATTATCCAAACAGAGTTCCAGTTGTGCACTGGGGAAATCCTTCCCCTCCTCCATATATAAACCCCACCCTACAGCTCATCTGCAAAGCAGACCTGGGGCATGTGAGGGAGTAGGAAATATAATCCAGCAGTGATCTCTCTCCCATTGGCAGAGAGACATTATAGTGTATTCTAATAGTTTTATATAAATAAAACTTTGACATAATATTTGGAACTAGTATGGAGTTTGGAAAATTATTCAGTGGAATTACCATTATCTTCCAAAAGATCATTTCAATTTAATTCAGTAAAGAGTTGAAGAGTTAAACTCAACAGAAATTAGGACAAGCTTCCACTACAGAAAACATAAAGGTTTTTTTCCTTTGTAAATCCAAAGAATTTGGATTTCATCCAAGGCTCTGAAATCAAAGATAAACGTGTAATTGTGTTTTGGTTATTTTTAAAACAGTAATGTGTCAACTACTTCTGACAAATTTGCCTAATGTATCAATGTGTAAAAAGATGTTCAAGTTTTTTTCCCCCATTGTTACATATATTAATTTTAAAAATCCATTCTACTAATAAAATCTCTATAAAGATTAGTCACTTTAAATCGTATTATGACATGACCCAATTACTTGAATATTTAAATATGTCACATTATAATGTGTACAGTAACCTACAATCAGGCAAAATACATTTGAAATAATGTCCAAGAGAAGATAATAGGAAGAAAACCAATTTACATGCAGCATTTTTCAACATATTTTGCTACAAATGCCTTTTCTTGAGCAAGAAAAAACATGGCTGAGAAGTGAGCAGTCCCATGAACTGGAATGATATGAGTAGCCATGACCACTTTTTACTGGAGTTTCATACAGAGCCCCAACAGAACATGCAATGCTGAAGTACATACCCTTTCTCCTTGTAGTAAAGTCACCTATGGTTTGTGAATCTGTTCGCTCTAAACCATGAGGCTTAGGTCTTAAAATTTTAGGGCTCTGACCTAATTGATAAAAAGAAGAATCTTTCTTAATATAGCTTTTTATTATCATGATAAAAACCAGAAAAATAGCTGGACTCCTATAAACAAGTTGCCAAGCCCCTTGCAGAAAGATTGCATTTTGGAAGGGTAAGCAAGCAACTGACAGAAAGAACACTAAGATATATCAATGGAAGAGAATATGTGTAGCTCAGTGTTGAACTGTGGAGTCCTTGGGGTTCTCTGAGCTTGGCTGTTTTCTTGCAAACGTTTCATTACCCGGCTAGGTAACCTCTT